AATACAAGCTCATTCATTCGTGTGCTTGCCTTTTACCTGTAAGTGTGGTCTCACTGGCTTTTCAGGCACACACTGTTTCATAGCATTCCTACTCGTCAAAGGAGCACAAAAACAAGCTTGGGGTGCAACCTGTTACCAAAAATACATATTATATACTCCAAGTATGATGTTATTTCAAACCCCAAACTAAACACACATTAAGCAAGACATTTTCCTTGTTTAAACAAGAGCATAGTGGGGAAACCACAACTAGGTATCTACTTGAGTAGCGTAGCAATAAGCAAGCAGAGGATAAACCTCCATTGCCAGAGGCCTTTTCTCATTTTGAACAGCCTCTTTACAACCCAGTCACACCTATATGAGCAGCTTATCCCTGTATTTATCCACCACTAATCCGTAATTCTTTATGAACTGAACTCTCTTGCTTTAAAATTTTGTCATTCCTGTTGTCATATGGATAAAAGAAAGACTTAATCCCATGCATGTGCATAAATAAAGTCAACGTTCATTTACGCACCTCATGTACTGAACTATTTTATGTTCATCAGGTCTCAGAAAAGTTGTCAACCTGCCATTCAAGTGAACGTTATGGTGTATCTTTCAAAGATTATTTACAAGGCAAGGTATTTGCATGAATGCAAATCATGAGATGTTTGGCCTACATTTACCTAACACAGACATATTAAACTCTTTCCCTCTCTCCTGGCACTGACATTTTTCAGTGAAAGATTTCCTACTGGCACAACTAACAGCCATTACACGTGGTGCTGCATTACACTGGAAGATTAAGGAGCACCACAAGGAAACCAGAAGGTTGAAGGGCTATGGTGCACCTCTGCAGGGAGAAAATATCAACAGCTGTTCAGTGCAGAGATGAGCACATGGTACACTCAAACAACTGGTGCAAGCACACTGGGATGCCCAAACAATTGGTAACAAAAGCCAGACAGATTCAAGTGAGAATTACGCCAAAATTCATGAACCTGAAGTTCACAACATTTAGAGGTTCACTGCTGCTAGCGCTTCAACAGCAGGACTCTTTTTAGGGTGTAGGATGTTCCTCCCTCCCCGAAAACTACCTTATATGTGAGCAAAATATCCACCATCTTCCAGACTGCTCATACATCATCAGGAAGAGCAAATTCAGGTCAAATTAGCTCTCTACTCATACCAGAGTACTCCACTATCTTCTCCAATTTAACACAGCTATCACCAATGCTTATTGGACACCTCAACACCTGTGGAAGGGCAGAACCCATGTACCTTGCTTTCATCTGCACAAGCTCTACCACCCACACATAAGGTCTAAAGTCAGCAGCACTTAAACATTATTCTCAAGAACAGTATGTTTAGCCATGTTGAGAAATCTGGTTTATTGTTACCAAAAATTAGCACAAATAACAAACAGCAAGGTTGCTGGACAGACAGGCACCTCTTACATTTATAGACCTTCCTCTCCTAACAGCCCCCTCCATGGCAGTTGGGGTTGGACTACATGGTCAACGTCCCTTTCCAACTCAAACCATGCTGTGATTTCCCTCAGGAAAGGCAATAAAGGGATAGTAAATGTATTTCTGATAAAGCAGTAAGGAAAGCACCTTAATGTCTACTATTATTATGCAAACCAAACATGAAACATAGTCAACAGCTGTGTCCCTCTCTCCATGTTCTTCCCACCGCCTTGCGCTGTTGTTTCATGTCCCTTTCATCCTGTGATGTTGCTCCTATTCTTAGTGACTGGGCTCAAAATCCTTACTGCTTTCTATGGTCTGAAGTGACCCTGTAAAAAATTCTTTGAAAGCTACTATTAGGATGATGTATGGCCTAATTTTGGTTGCTACAGCATTTAGAGTCAGACTTATGACTGGGGAAACGATCTCCCACTCACTTGAAATGCAGGGAAAGGTTTCAGTACTGCAGGAGAAGGCTCTCTGGCTGAAAAGTCGTATTTTAAAGTTTACAGCTCCTGCTTCTGGCTCAGCGTTGCTACGGCAGTGAGGAGAGAGCCTGGCAGGGTTCTGCAGATCTGCCAAGCTCTGGATGCAGCCACTCCAGAACACTGTTTTAGCTGCTCTAGGGGAGGAATCTAGCAGCAGGCTATTACTGTAAGTACCAACCTGTCTATGGTTTTAAAAGCAGCATGGTTTTATTAAGATAGAAATGACCATGAGAAATTAAGTGCATTTTAGCTTAGGCAGTGAGATATAAGGCAAGAACACTGTGTGGGCCTTTATGGCTGGCAATAGACACCATTGCTATCAACTGTCTCTGTTGTCTTCCATCGTGTTTAATGTGCATAATCATGGCAGCAGCACCTCATCTCATCTCACCCTGGCCTTGGGCCCACAAACAAATAAATCAAGCTAAAGTTGACTCCCAGAGCAGACAGAAGAACCCCTTTTCTCTCTTCATTCTACATTTATCTGTTCACATGACAGAACCGCTCAAAGCACTGTAAATATGCATTGTACTCTGTATGAAATCCAATACTGATTTTACAAATGAAGACAGGATGGATGAATCTGCCTCCAGTTCTGAATGCTTCAGTTTATATGTCTATGATTCTATATAGAGGTTTTTATATATATATTTCAGCAGGATTTTAAAAATGTTAAGCATCAGTTTCAGAAATGGCTTATACTTGGACCTAGATTCAGCAATGTTCAAACACACTGTTAGCAGCCATGAACCAGGTTCTCCAGAATTAGGAAGTGGCTTTAAAACATGATTTTTCAAGGCAGTCAAAATGTCCTGTTGTTAATAATATACCTTAGACAAATCCAATCAAGGAAATCAAAATAAGCTAACCATTGTTTAGTTATGTGTCGAATTACTTTACATACAACCACAACTTTTCAGCATGCAGTGAGAATTCACATGCAAGTGTCATTTAGTTTAGCTTTGCCTCCTTTCAAGGTACCTTTTTCAGCTAAGGAACAGAATCTGTTTTTAAGCACATACCTATTTCTGACAGATACAAAACTATCACGTTTAGCACTGCTTCTGCAGATTTTTAACCACCCTCAAGCATGTGGTGACTGTGGGTTACATGGTGTGTATGGTTGATGAATTTTAAACTAATCTCTGGTACTGTTCTTACTCCAAGCAATTTTAGAGGTGCCCACTCCCATTACTACACTGAAAAGTCACTTCCTGACTGCAAAGCAGATGCTTGGATATCATGCAAAGAATAGAAGTATCCTACTCAGTGCACTACCAGGGCTGCTAAATGAACTTTTAATTTCCTACCACGGAGACTGTATCTTGTCACAAAACCTTACATGGTGAACTCTTGAGTTCATACATACAACACACCCTGCTTCCTAAGAGAATGATGGACTTGTTTAGTTGATACTAGATCCTTGGTCCAGCCAACCACAGCACGTACGTGATCTCAAAATGTCACATTTCGTAACTCTTTACCGTTCTCACCCTCTCTCCCTCCCCTCTCAACACCAGCCAGCTCCCTGCTGTGAGCAAGCCATCACTTCCACAAGTGTTTTACAGGCAGCTGGTGCAACCACACAGTGCTCCCAGCTACAGCAGTGTGGCAACATAGCACCCCAGATGACAAACAATGCATTTAAAACCCCTGAACTCTGGTGCAAATCCACATTTGTACTAAGCACCCAAACACACAATACAGAATATGTTTCTTCTCATCCACTGAGAAGATCCACAAAGATAAAATCATTTCCTTGTAGAATTAGTACAAGTTGGTTTGGTAACTTGATGAGTTTCAGTGCAGTCTGCACATGTTCCCTTCAGAAAAGTTCCATAGCAATCCACACGACATTATCCAGAATGGTGTGGTACTGACAGGATTGTTAAAAGACTTCAGCCTTAGAGAGCTTTTTATTTACTGTTTTGTTCCTTTCTTGTTTTACTTCAAAAGTTTTCCCAGCAGCTCTAATCTGTGACAGAATATTAAGCTGCAAAACACCTCCTGTAGCTTTGTTGGTCACAGTTACTGATAAGATCTGATTCCTACTGTTCTTAAAAGGCAAGTGACAGGCTTCACCGGGGCGTACATGACCTTTCCAAAGCCGCAGCCCAGTAGGAATTGCGTCGATTGCGCTAACCTGTCAATGAACAAGAGCTGCAGAGCTAGCAGGAGAACAAGTTCTGATGCCTGTAGTTAAATAACAGCACCTCAGGAGAGCACATTTATGAAATATCCGAAGGGCTGAAAGGTCACTCACAACAAGTCTCCTCTTTCTCAGGAGCAAGAACTGCCTTCTCCCAGATGCTGCTCTGGCTGGGGCAGGTTATACTGCAGCAGCCTGGGTCTAAAGGAAGGTGCTTTGGAAGAGGTCTTTTTATAGATGAAGGTTTTTTTCATAATTATACTTCAGGCAACGCCAAACATATGACAGAAATTAATAAATCCCAGGGGTCTGAACTTCTTTAAACCAGTAGCACATGAGGCCCACTCGCCTTCTCACACAGCTTCATGGAGGTCTCACACACTGTTTTCGAGGACCAAGGGTCCCCAAACACCACCCACAGCGATCAAAGCTTTTGTCCCCTCAAACATCCCACAACTAAAATTTGCAAAACTTCCAAAACTTAGCACACCGTGCTAGGAATCAAAGCATTCTTCCCGGAGGTTCAACCAAGATGGTTGTGTACAATTACAAACCTGTCTTCACGGCACACAGCACTGACTTAAACTTTGACAGCCCTGAGCTCCCATCAAACTCACTTTGTTGTACACTTTATTGCTAACTCCTGCAAACCCTTAGTAGCTCCAGGATACCCAGCATGGGTTGTACGTGAGTCAAATAACACCTTGTTGAGCAAAACCTGACTATCGGAAGAATCTAAGAGAGTAAAAGTCCCCAGTTGGAGTCATGTGTGGTGCCCTGAGCCTGCACAGCAGGTAGGAGAGCACAGGCATAAAAAATGCTGTTGCATATTTAAGCCTTCTGAGACACCATGCTGAACATCACAACAGTCAAACACACACTGGAGCCCTTGTCCTTGAGCAGAGTTTTATCTTACCTTCCCTGCATGCTGGTGCAGCAGCCCGCTCTCCACACACCTCAAGGGCCATAGCGCAAGTCCTCCAGCCTGTCTCATGCTTTGCGTTTTCTCCTGTTTTCATGCTGCTCTCCTGCTGCTTCAAGGTGCCTCCCTACCTGTCCAAATGACAGGTGAAAATCAAACTGACACCAGGTCTCTGTTTACACACATGCTAATCTTTAGATAATTCAACAGATCTTAAGAAAAGGCATATTTAGCCCTTCCTCTGCTTAGTCCAAAGGAAGGGAGCTGGGATGGATATCAGTATCAGTACGTCTGGTGTGATGCTTCCGGAACTGTACCCATCCTTCAGCATAACAACAGGAACATCCAAAAGCTAAACAGTAATTTCTCTCTATCATGAGCTGTTTTACTGCCAGCTTAAAGTGCAAGTGTCTCAAAAGCAGATCTTTTACTACAAGCAATATGAGCTTGAAGTAACTCAAATCAAATGTTTTCCCTTTTCTTTTTTTTTTTTTTTAATTTCCTCAAATCTGCCATCTCTTGACAACTTCCCTCCCTTGTTTAAAAGCTTTTCTAATCCAGAACACCATAGGAAACACAGTGCTGTGAAGTGCAGACAGGGAAGTCCAGCTGGGTAATTTGGCAATAGTCTTACAATAACTGTTTTTTCAAACCCGTAAGTACACTTTCCTGATGTTCCAGTTAGTATATAAAAAATAAAGCTTAAACTGTGTAACTTTTATAAAACCCTAGAGCAGGCGATGCACTCCTTGGCACAATCACACGTTTCAAAAATGGGATTTTTATCACTGTATTTCATTTTCAGTCAATCGAGGTCTGCATTCATAGATCATTTTTCACATACATTACTCAGCCACTGCTCTTCCTATCTCCACTCTGGTAAATATTTTTGCCTTGTGCAAAGGATGTTAAGGGCAATGCAGCCAAGATGTATTCTTGCATTAGTCCCGTAGCTGACAGTGACATACAGCGAGATATTAGAGCATTATAGTATCAGGAATGTACAGTAAGCCCCAGTAAAGGATGTAGCCTAGAGTTTTATAGCCTCAGTCCCAGGAAAACAAAGATAAAAGGTACACTTCCACTGTAACATACAGCCAAGTTTCGTAATTCAGAATAATACACGACATCAATTAAATTCAACCTACCGATTCATCATCTTCCTGGAGCTAGGCCAGGTGCCTTTGATGACAGCTTGGCCTATTTCACGCAGTGCAACACAGATCAATAAGGAGGTGGTGCAGGGTAGTAGATGGTGTCCATGTGTCTACCCTAAAAAAAACAAAATATAGCTTAGAGTTATTAAACTGTTCTACTGCTTCCAAACAGACATCAGTATTATATAATGTAATTTAGGTGACGTAGGAGAGGAGTTTGGCTATTGGAACTGCTGTGATTATCTTGCTGCTGAAAGACTTCTGTGTTTTTCTAACAGGCAGCAGGATATAGCTTCCAGCAGGTTCCCAGTTACAGGGAGCATGCTGGTGTCAGTTTTATGGCCAGACTAGATACAGCTTAAGAGCAGTGCATAACCAGTCTCTTCTGAGCAAAGAACATTCTGGTTTTGTATATTGATGGTAAATCCTCGTTTCTCTTTACAGGTATTAATCCAAACTCTATGAAATCAGACACATTTAGAAGACAGAGAACAGGTTAAACCATTCTTTCTTCCTCCCATTATTTATGCCTACAGCCTTATCAGCATTCAAAGTCACATCAGTTTATCTAACAATACAAAAAATTTAAACAGCTAATGAATTCTGTGCATGGCCAGAACTACTTTAATTCAAATTTGCCTTATATTGAGTTCCCTCAGCTCAGCAAAGAAGGCAGCTTAATATGCAATTAAGGCTCTCTACAGAAGTTGATCTACCTGCTACATAAGATGTTAGTATTATAGCAAAAATCATAAAAGAGAAGAAATCATGCAATGAAGGTGATGGAGAGGCAGAAAGTTTATGTAAAATAGACTGCATCTAAGTCTCAGAGTCACCTTCTTCAGGACTGTGAAAATGCCAAACAGCATATGGAACATCACGTTAGTCAGGTCGCTAAATGAAACAGAAGAACTACTTCAAGACACAGCTTTAGCAGAGTGACTACTGAAATCCCTTCATAAGAGACCTGTACTCTTCTGTTCTTATTTGTACATTTATAATAGGTGTCATAACTGTATATATAAATAACAAAGAAATAGTCTTGCAATGGTAAGCAATCCACACAAAATCTATCACAGTAACAAACTCAGAATTTTATCCTCAGGGCTCCAGATAACCTCATCCAGTGAGGAATTCAATAACTCCAACAGTCAGGAACCAGAAAGGGGGGTGTTAACTGAGTTTGGAAGTAACACTAATGAAACTCTACAGATTCAGCTTCTCAAATGGAATTAATTTGACGAGAATGGAACTCTGAGAATCATTTCAGGCTCATTTTTTTGACATTGTTCAGAGTTAAAATACTTCCAAATTGATATGCTGGAAACCCTAGCGACTGCCTTGATTTTCTAATCTAGTATCTTTGTGGATACAATCCTGGAAGACAAAAAATTACTGGCACATGGCAGTATTATTTAATCTAACTTGGTCTGCAGGCTCAAAACACTTCATCTAAATGCTTAGGGAATGAACCATACTTAGTATTACTATGACTGAATTTTAATAACCTGATAAAGCTGGGAGAGTTGGAGGAGGGAGACATGAAAACTGAGCTACTCATTTTCTCTTTCAAAGATTTGCAAGTTACTCTTGAGTTTTTTAACACAGTAAGGACCTCCAGGCATGGCAGATACCAGTTTGGTGGGCATTCTACAAACAAGATAAAGTAAAAATGAAGATGTTCCTTTCTTCCAAATAGCTTCCAAATACTGCACAGAAAAAAAACAAAACCAAAACCAACACCTTCCCCTCCCAAAAAAATACCCACCCCAAAACAACAAAGCAAAACACAGAAACAAACAGTTTGAGGCATCAAGAAATAACACAGTACTTTGCAACGAACACAAAACGTTTCCAAATGCAGCCGTTCTGTAAGTGACAAAGACAGCATCTTTCCACATGGCAGTGAAAGACCTCTGAAGGCTGGTGAGATGGTGAGCCCTGAGCTAGCAGGACCATAATAGCTTTACCAGCAGATTACTTTTCTAACAGCAACAGAAAATAGTTTGACAAAGGCAAGCCAGGCCTGAAAGCAGGATTAATAAGCTCTGAGCAGGTTTTTCAGGGTATGTTGCCATGCTAAGAAGCAAATCAAACCAAAACATTGTCTTTGTGCAACCCATATAACTTTAGGCATTTATCTTTGATATGAACGGCCTATGGGAAGCAAGTCTCACGTATCTATACAGAAAACACAGGCTTCTAAACTGAGCTGGTCTGAATCTTACAGCCACCTAATGCCATCAAACAAAACCACAATAAAAAGTACCAACCTATTTGGATTTCTTATTGATTGGTCTTCCGCTGTGAATGGGATTATTTTCTTCCTTGACCTCAGGACAGGGAGTTATTTAGAAACTTTTCAAAATCTATCTATTATTCAGAGACAGATTTGAATTTATTGAACAAGAACTGGTTTTTACAAATGCTTTTTTTCTGGATATTTTTCCTTGCATCTTGCTTTGCTGTTCTTTCCCTGCCCTCCCAAGGTGGATGTGAACCTCAGGCTGCCTGAGCAGGTTACTAATGTTAAACAAAACACATCAGCTTGCCACATCTGTCTCAGCAGAAAGTCAATATCCACTCCAGGAGCAATCAAGCACCCAAGCATGGAGGCTATAAGCAAAAGCCTTTTAAAAATGTAGTAAAAAAGCCTGAAACTGGTGTAAGGGTTTTCTTGTAAACCTGTGGTTGAAACCAACTTTATCTAAGAAATTACAAAGGCTTTGATCACCCTGAACTGAATTCTGGGATAAAGAGCCCAGTGCATGGCTAAGTGAAATTCTGAACCATGCAATGCCTTCTACTAAGTTTACTGAAACTCTAGCAATAAAGTACTTCTGTAACATTTGCAGCTCCAAATCTTTGATGCACTCAGAATTTTAGCTGAACCACATCTTAACATCTTTTCTACTTCTATAAATGCAAACTGTGAGAAAAACATATGTTTTCTAGCAGCACAGCTTTGAAAAGCTTTACCCAAAATATAAACTCATTTCACATGGGTCACTGAACATACACTGGATGACAAATGCTTTTTATCACTACCAATCTCATGAAGTGTCTCAATGAAGAAACATCTACGTGCAGAACAACACTACATGTACTATAAATGGCCCCCAGATAGGCTGAAAAATAACACAGCCAGCCCATCAAAGATTGAACCTTCACCCTATGAAGGTAGAAATGCTTTCCTCCTTGTGAAAAATCTACAAAGAGACTAAAAATGCCATAGACTTAAAAAATAATTTGTACAATAATAAATATTCCAGAGAAGTACTACATAATTTCAACCTTAAATAAGTAAACTTGAGAAACATTTCCAAACCTGGGAATCAGGGGGTGACTGTCAGTGCTACATGCTGAGAATCAGAATGGACAGGAAATTGTATCTGTACTTACTAACACATATACAATTCTTATCATTGAAGGATACAAGCACCTGTGCTCAGGTACATGCTGAGGTAGAAGAAATTGATTTAATTTCTATTTAATAGTGTTTTGTTTCTTCAAAGGGAATGGCCAAACTAATTCTGATGTAATTTATCTAACAATCCAGCCTCCTCAAAACGCTTTCCATTCTCAGTCATGCAGTGCTCCCAGCAAAACAGTGGGGAAAAAGAAAAGAAAAGAAGGAAGCACAGAACAAACATCATTATGAAGAATTTGACAAGGAAATTCATCTGAAGGAAACACCAATTCCTCATGCTTTCAGAATATGTAAGTATTTTACACTAAGGAAATCATTAAATTGTTTGTAAATGCAATAGGTATTTATACCCTCCATGCTTAGGTAATTGAGGAGCACACACATCAAGAGAAAGGCCTGTTCAAAAATAATTTCAAGAAATTATCAAGAACAGCAGTTATGGTAGAAACAACATTATATGATAGCAGTTATAATGGAAACACCTATCAGCCCAAAATGAAACCGCCACAAAAGAACAACTGCAGCACCTTAGATCAGGGTTTACAAGCAATCGCAGGCTTCAAATTAGCTCCAAATTATACTTATTAATTCCAGAATTAGACAGCCATCTTGCACACATGCATGATCATTCTTGAACTCCTGATTTTTCAAAGCCAAATTTCTGTCTCAACAGCAGAATTTAATTTCTCTTATTTATGGCTCCCTCAATTCCCCAAACAATTAGTTTGCAACTGAAGGAAAGAGGCATCTACAGAGGATGATGTATCTTCCCACACAACAGAGTGCTGGGCAACCCTCCTTCCTGGCACACTGGTGTCATGGCGTTGCCAGGTCATGTTGATTTGTAGCATCAGAGGACTGCAGAAGCCTCAGGTAGTTGAGAAGCCTTAGCTTCCAACTCGAAGCTTGCTGAATTATTTCCAAATTTACTACTACAGCAAACAGCTGCCAAACGATCTCGCTGCCCACGGCCCAGAAAAGCAGAGAACAATGAATTATGTTTAGAAGAGATGCAAAGTTTCTGTCTTGCTAGGTGAGACATTATCATTGCATTTGCAGGTTTATCTACTTTCTACTGACAAAGGCAGTGCCAGATCACTCTGGAGGACATAAGAAAGATGACAATTTTCCAAGAACAGGTCCTTTTTAAATCTATATAGCAAGTGACAGAATACAAGAATACTGATAGTAAAGATCAAGATTCTCTTTAAGACTTATTTTGAAGAAAAGAAAGGGTATTTCTGAAGCTTAGAGACAGCAATTGTTAAAAGGATGCAAAAGGCAAATCCTGAGTTACATTACTTAAGACACTGAGGGGCTATGTAATGGATCACTTACAGGATACACACCCGGAACCACAAATACCCATTGTTAGTTCTCTCCTCTACTAACCTCTGCCTTTGCTTACTCATCCGTAAAACGAAACTGCAGTTTCTTACAATCTTAGCTGATACGTGTTGAGAATTGTGATACTTGAGAGATATCACATAGTTTTGGTGTGAGTTGTCATTGTGACTGTAGTGAAATATAGTTTGCAAGGACAAGGAGTGAATGGGTCACCAATGTGTAAGTAATGGAAGCCAAAATGACTTGCTGCCCTTACCAGCTCATTTTATTGCTAATGTAAGAGGATGTTAGAAATGTGCTTCACAGTGCAGGCAGGGAGCATGGCCCCACTTG